ATTGGCCCGAGTATGCGTTGTTGTTGTTTCATTGTGTTGTTCTGTCTGTTTTGTTATTTATTGGCCCGAGTATGCGTTGTTGTTGTTTCATTGTGTTGTTCTGTCTGTTTTGTTATTTATTGGCCCGAGTATGCGTTGTTGTTGTTTCATTGTGTTGTTCTGTCTGTTTTGTTATTTATTGGCCCGAGTATGCGTTGTTGTTGTTTCATTGTGTTGTTCTGTCTGTTTTGTTATTTATGGAGTATGCGTTGTTGTTGTTTCATTGTGTTGTTCTGTCTGTTTTGTTATTCATTGGCCCGGAGTATGCGTTGTTGTTGTTGCATTGTGTTGTTCTGAGTATGCGTTGTTGTTATTGTATTGTTCTGTCTGTTTTGTTATTTATTGGCCTGAGTATGCGTTGTTGTTGTTGCATTGTGTTGTTCTGTCTGTTTTGTTATTTATTGGCCCGAGTATGCGTTGTTGTTGTTGCATTGTGTTGTTCTGTCTGTTTTGTTATTTATTGGCCCGAGTATGCGTTGTTGTTGTTTCATTGTGTTGTTCTGAGTATGCGTTGTTGTTATTGTATTGTTCTGTCTGTTTTGTTATTTATTGGCCCGAGTATGCGTTGTTGTTGTTGCATTGTGTTGTTCTGTCTGTTTTGTTATTTATTGGCCCGAGTATGCGTTGTTGTTGTTTCATTGTGTTGTTCTGTCTGTTTTGTTATTTATTGTTCTGTCTGTTTTGTTATTTATGCGTTGTTGTTGTTGTTGCATTGTGTTGTTCTGTCTGTTTTGTTATTTATTGGCCTGAGTATGCGTTGTTGTTGTTTCATTGTGTTGTTCTGTCTGTTTTGTTATTTATTGGCCCGAGTATGCGTTGTTGTTGTTTCATTGTGTTGTTCTGTCTGTTTTGTTATTTATTGGCCTGAGTATGCGTTGTTGTTGTTGTTCATTGTGTTGTTCTGTCTGTTTTGTTATTTATTGGCCTGAGTATGCGTTGTTGTTGTTGCATTGTGTTGTTCTGTCTGTTTTGTTATTTATTGGCCCGAGTATGCGTTGTTGTTGTTTCATTGTGTTGTTCTGTCTGTTTTGTTATTTATTGGCCCGAGTATGCGTTGTTGTTGTTTCATTGTGTTGTTCTGAGTTGTTGTTGTTTATTGTATTGTTCTGTCTGTTTTGTTATTTATTGGCCCGAGTATGCGTTGTTGTTGTTCATTGTGTTGTTCTGTCTGTTTTGTTATTTATTGGCCTGAGTATGCGTTGTTGTTGTTTCATTGTGTTGTTCTGTCTGTTTTGTTATTTATTGGCCCGAGTATGCGTTGTTGTTGTTTCATTGTGTTGTTCTGTCTGTTTTGTTATTCATTGGCCCGAGTATGCGTTGTTGTTGTTGCATTGTGTTGTTCTGTCTGTTTTGTTATTCATTGGCCCGAGTATGCGTTGTTGTTGTTTTCATTGTGTTGTTCTGTCTGTTTTGTTATTCATTGGCCTGAGTATGCGTTGTTGTTGTTTCATTGTGTTGTTCTGTCTGTTTTGTTATTCATTGGTTGATTTATGCGTTGTTGTTGTTTCATTGTGTTGTTCTGTCTGTTTTGTTATTCATTGGCCCGAGTATGCGTTGTTGTTGTTTCATTGTGTTGTTCTGTCTGTTTTGTTATTCATTGGCCCGAGTATGCGTTGTTGTTGTTTCATTGTGTTGTTCTGTCTGTTTTGTTATTCATTGGCCCGAGTATGCGTTGTTGTTGTTTCATTGTGTTGTTCTGTCTGTTTTGTTATTTATTGGTGAGTATGCGTTGTTGTTGTTTCATTGTGTTGTTCTGTCTGTTTTGTTATTTATTGGCCCGAGTATGCGTTGTTGTTGTTTCATTGCGTTGTTGTTTTCATTTGTTGGCCCGAGTGTCTGTTTTTTGTTATTTATTGGCCCGAGTATGCGTTGTTGTTGTTTCATTGTGTTGTTCTGTCTATTTTGTTATTTATTGGCCCGAGTATGCGTTGTTGTTGTTGCATTGTGTTGTTCTGTCTGTTTTGTTATTTATTATGAGTATGCGTTGTTGTTGTTTCATTGTGTTGTTCTGTCTGTTTTGTTATTTATTGGCCTGAGTATGCGTTGTTGTTGTTGTTTCATTGTGTTGTTCTGTCTGTTTTGTTATTTATTGGCCCGAGTATGCGTTGTTGTTGTTTCATTGTGTTGTTCTGTCTGTTTTGTTATTTATTGGCCTGAGTATGCGTTGTTGTTGTTTCATTGTGTTGTTCTGTCTGTTTTGTTATTTATTGAGTATGCGTTGTTGTTGTTGCATTGTGTTGTTCTGTCTGTTTTGTTATTCATTGGCCCGAGTATGCGTTGTTGTTGTTGCATTGTGTTGTTCTGAGTATGCGTTGTTGTTATTGTATTGTTCTGTCTGTTTTGTTATTTATTGGCCTGAGTATGCGTTGTTGTTGTTGCATTGTGTTGTTCTGTCTGTTTTGTTATTTATTGGCCTGAGTATGCGTTGTTGTTGTTGCATTGTGTTGTTCTGTCTGTTTTGTTATTTATTGGCCCGAGTATGCGTTGTTGTTGTTTCATTGTGTTGTTCGTTGTTGTTGTTTCATTGTATTGTTCTGTCTGTTTTGTTATTTATTGGCCCGAGTATGCGTTGTTGTTGTTGCATTGTGTTGTTCTGTCTGTTTTGTTATTCATTGGCCCGAGTATGCGTTGTTGTTGTTTCATTGTGTTGTTCTGTATCGTTGTTGTTTTGTATTGTTCTGTCTGTTTTGTTATTTATTGGCCTGAGTATGCGTTGTTGTTGTTGCATTGTGTTGTTCTGTCTGTTTTGTTATTTATTGGCCTGAGTATGCGTTGTTGTTGTTGTTCATTGTTATTGTATTGTTCTGTCTGTTTTGTTATTTATTGGCCCGAGTATGCGTTGTTGTTGTTGCATTGTGTTGTTCTGTCTGTTTTGTTATTTATTGGCCCGAGTATGCGTTGTTGTTGTTTCATTGTGTTGTTCTGTCTGTTTTGTTATTTATTGGCCCGAGTATGCGTTGTTGTTGTTTCATTGTGTTGTTCTGAGTATGCGTTGTTGTTGTTTCATTGTGTTGTTCTGTCTGTTTTGTTATTTATTTGTCTGAGTATGCGTTGTTGTTGTTTCATTGTGTTGTTCTGTCTGTTTTGTTATTTATTTGTCTGAGTATGCGTTGTTGTTGTTTCATTGTGTTGTTCTGTCTGTTTTGTTATTTATTGGCCTGAGTATGCGTTGTTGTTGTTTCATTGTGTTGTTCTGTCTGTTTTGTTATTCATTGGCCTGAGTGTTGTATGCGTTGTTGTTGTTTCATTGTGTTGTTCTGTCTGTTTTGTTATTTATTGGCCCGAGTATGCGTTGTTGTTGTTTCATTGTGTTGTTCTGAGTATGCGTTGTTGTTGTTTCATTGTGTTGTTCTGTCTGTTTTGTTATTCATTGGCCCGAGTATGCGTTGTTGTTGTTTCATTGTGTTGTTCTGTCTGTTTTGTTATTCATTGGCCCTGAGTATGCGTTGTTGTTGTTTCATTGTGTTGTTCTGTCTGTTTTGTTATTCATTGGTTGTTGAGTATGCGTTGTTGTTGTTTCATTGTGTTGTTCTGTCTGTTTTGTTATTCATTGGCCCGTTGTTGAGTATGCGTTGTTGTTGTTTCATTGTGTTGTTCTGTCTGTTTTGTTATTCATTGGCCCGAGTATGCGTTGTTGTTGTTTCATTGTGTTGTGTCTGTTTTGTTATTCATTGGCCCGAGTATGCGTTGTTGTTGTTTCATTGTGTTGTTCTGTCTGTTTTGTTATTCATTGGCCCGAGTATGCGTTGTTGTTGTTTCATTGTGTTGTTCTGTCTGTTTTGTTATTCATTGGACCGAGTATGCGTTGTTGTTGTTTCATTGTGTTGTTCTGTCTGTTTTGTTATTCATTGGACCGAGTATGCGTTGTTGTTGTTTCATTGTGTTGTTCTGTCTGTTTTGTTATTCATTGGCCCGAGTATGCGTTGTTGTTGTTTCGTTGTTGTTGTTTCATTGTATTGTTCTGTCTGTTTTGTTATTTATTGGTTGAGTATGCGTTGTTGTTTCATTTGTTTTCATGCGTTGTTGTTATTGTTGTTCTGTCTGTTTTGTTATTTATTGGCCTGAGTATGCGTTGTTGTTGTTCATTGTGTTGTTCATGCGTTGTTGTTTCATTTGTTGTTCTGTCTGTTTTGTTATTTATTGGTTTGAGTATGCGTTGTTGTTGTTTCATTGTGTTGTTCTGAGTATCGTTGTTGTTGTCTGTTTTCTGTCTGTTTTTGTTATTTATTTGTCTGAGTATGCGTTGTTGTTGTTTCATTGTGTTGTTCTGTCTGTTTTGTTATTTATTTGTCTGAGTATGCGTTGTTGTTGTTGCATTGTGTTGTTCTGTCTGTTATTCTTGCATTGTGTTGTTCTGTGTATGAATTGTTGTTGCGGTGTGTTGCTCCGGGGTGAAATTATTAGAAAAATCGTCTATATTTTGAAATGTTATTAAATAGTTTATTCCTCGTTATACAGTGGTAATTCAGTTATGTGCCATGCATGATACCGGCTTAGACATTTTCTTTCTGCGGCAGACCAGTTGTCATCCAAAACTATAGAATCCGTTCTGGCGGGATAAGAGGATTCATACCTTTCCCAAGGGTCTTTGCACGTAAGTGAACGTAATGGATTCGACTGGAATTCGAACTCGGCTCACCGATTTCTCAATCCGAGCCGCTATCCATTACTAAACAATTTATAAATTCAAATTGCTTTTGTCAAATGGAAGAAAAAAAAAAGAAATCCTTATTTCGATGTTTCATAAAACGTCCATTTAACTTAATAACCGTTTCTCCCACCTCTTTAAAATTCCCCCCGCTCTTTGATTCGAAATTCCTCCCCTGGGAGCCAAGTGCTTCCTAGTTGAAAAATCCCTCATCAATGAATCTTTATTTATTTATTTCTTCGAACGATAATTTGGATGTTTAATGATCCTCGAATTAGGTCGCCCCGCTGCGGTACAATAATTTACAAGCTCGATGTCTCGCACTTGTGAACACCGAGTTGTGCTATGCGAAGTTGTGTGCTTCGCCGAGAAACAGATAAAAGTAGCAAGCTCGTTTTGCCGACCATTGAAGGTGCGGTGAGGACTATAGCCCCTTCCCGTCCTGCGATTTTACCATACAAGGCTTAGTTAGAGAAATTTCCATTGCAGGATGTCACGCTGTGAAGCAGGCGGTACCAAGTTAATCTTGAAGATCATACCGACTGTAAGTAGAGTTAAATCTTCGCCGGACGACCTATACTTGAGGATTTTGGGCTTTATGTGTGCCGTCTCGTGTCAGGAAGTGGGCGATCGCGGCTCTCCACAATTTCCTATACTTTTCAGCCCTAAGCAGTATTTGTCACCTATCTCTTCCATCCCATATTTTGTCATCCGTTTACGAAAGCTCGTTGCGTAGCCGACTCGATGTTTTTCTCTACCGCCCTTGTCTTCAATATGGTGATTTTCTAAGCGAAGCTTAGATATGGCACAAGGCCGAAAGTATGGTGCACCCAGTAGGATCGAACTCACTATTCTCTTGCCTTCAATATGTACTGTATATCAAATTCTACAGGCGCTCTGAGTAGGTACCCCTAAAAAGTTCCCTAAGAGGATACATGATGAAAAAAAAATGTAAAAAAATGATGAAAGACGAAAGGAAATTTTGATGTAAAATTGATTTTAATTAATCCTTTTTAGAACCTTAGAAAGTGTGGCAAAAAAAAAAGGTTTTCTGGTGACCGCTGAGACCATGAATTTGTTTGGGAAATTTGAGTGTCTTTTTGTTATATAGGAATAAAGTGTTGCTTTCGACACTGGAGTTTGAACATAGATCATCAGTGAGCAAACACAGGCGATCCCATCATTGAATTAAGTAGACCACGTGACCATAGAGGAAATATGTAAATTATATGCTGCCTTATGTTTTATGTTTATAAAAAACTATCGATCCGCAGTACATAAAAATATTCCTATAAAAAAAAACTACTACTAAGACATTACACTATATTATTGAACTATATACTTAGTTTATGACATAAAAACTGAATAGACTTGTGTTAAATCCACGTATTCTATTTTTACATCACAAGAAATATTTAAATAAAATTCTCACTTGAAATTTTGAAAAACTTAGAGTTGCGTCTTCGCACGTTCCGAGATTTTACACAACCGTCAATAATAGCAGATATTCAAAAAACATCTTTCGGTCGACATACAAGTATTTCGTCTCCAAGTTTTTGATTTTATAAGGAAAAAAACATGCCTGATGATGAATAGAGGACTATTCGTAAGTACTAGCATTTTAACATCAAATAAACTGAAAACTACAGACATCAAGTTTATCGACGAGGATCACTTCGCACTATGGATTAACAGTATTTTAATGCATATATTATGTTTCTAGCGATGGATGTCGCCAATAATCGCATTAATACTTCTGATTGATTCTATGTGTGATTATTTCTTTGTATGTGAATATATATATATATATATAGGAAGTAGCTGACGACTAACAATCGTTATTTCTACTCTATCCTCTGTTTCTATTCGAATCGTTATTTCTAGAATATCCTCTATTACTATTCGGAACGCTATTCTCTACTCTATTCACTATACTATTTCTCTATTCAGATCACTACACTAGTTACTATTCGAGCGAGTATTATCGAGCAAGTACTATTAGTGCGAGTGATATTCAAAAGCGTCTGATACCAGTATTGTTCAACGGCGTTACTGTAGTTGTATCTGCGATTACAAAGTCTCTACTACAACGAGCATTACAAAAGTGACAACGACTATTCGTTGGCATTACAAAACTTTTTGCGGTGAAAAACGCAGTGGAATTTGGAATTTCTTGCAAAAATCAGATAATTGTCAGATATTAACTAAACTTTCAGGACTTATTCACAAACGAATTAAATTATATTTGAAATGCTTCATTTTTAGAAAAGCTTGGTAAAAATATTTATTACATCTGTTACTCACCCTCCCTCCCAGTCATTTAATTTTATGAAGTAGTTATAAGGACAAGTTCTCGGAGTTCTTGGTTAAACAGCACCCACAGTCACAGAAAATCTGCTCTGAATCGTAAAATGAAAATGCAATAAAACTAAGACATTATTTAATTTGAAAATATTTTAATTGCATTTATGAATGAAATATATGATGGACAAAAATTGCGACAAATAATGAATTTCTACAATAATTGTTTACATATTTTTTTGATGTAATGGAATAACCTGTCACCTCCATGTATAACTATACTATAGGTAGTAACTACCTATAAGTATCTGTAAGTCAACGGACTAGCTGGGATCTGTTACTCAGATCTTAGCTGTTGTCGAACTCTCTGCTTTCGGGGAGAGAGGAACCCGGACGAGGCTATGCTGAAGAACAGTCTCGTCTGGGGAGGTAGACAGACCCAAACCCGTTTATACGGGGTTTACGGTGAATTTTTGGCCAAGCCTACAGGCTCGGATTGCTCCACATCCTACCCCGTGGGGAGGTTGGTAAATATTACTAGCTTGGTTCCGTTGAGTGCGACTCAGACTTACGCGAGAACTACCGACCTTCCAATAATAGCATTCACTACTGGATTGACTTGCGACGATCGTGCACATAACTGTTACGTTATTTCTTATTGTACTGCTATTTTACAATAAACCTTTACTTATTTTATCCACCGTCTTTGTCAAATATATATTCCTTTTAGCACAGAATATAAGAATTTTAATTAGAATAATTAATAAAATTTTAAATCTTTTAAAATTTATGTATTAATTTGTAGTGGTCAAATCATATTGTTATTAAATAAAAACTGTATTTACTAATCATGAATGGAAAAGCACACTACAATTCAAAGAACCCCAATATTTTAAAAATAATTTACAATTCATTTTGTGTGTGCACAAACGTCAGTTTTTGAAAATACGGATGTCCCTACATGATATCAGAAAATAAGGGCAGTCAATATATTAAATTTAAAATTTCTTGGTAATTTTCTAACATTTCCTCAACAAAGTTTTTTTTTTTTAATGTCGAAATGAACCCTTTATTTCGCTCACCATGTGCCATGTCTAATGGATGTCAGTTGATAACTGACATCTATTTGACATGGCATGTGGAACTAGAACAGTCTACCCCAGTGAGCGAAATAAAGGGTTCAGTTCGACATTCCAACCACCTGAAGAAGGCCGGAGCGTACAACGGCCGAAACGTTGTAATAAATATGGCGACAATAGTCCGAATAATGTAAATAGTGTACATAATACGTCATCTCAGAAATATAGACAGGCTCTAGTAATTGCTTAAAGAAAAATTACACCAGATAATGCGTACCTAAAACACTGATACACATACAACACCAAGCTAAACTCAAAACAACCCTGATTCAGAACTTTTATCTGACTTTAAATAATCTTATAATGGCTGCTGGGTGGTGAAGCAGAAACGAAACCAAACTAAACCTGGCAGTCGTGCGTTCAATCCCTAGGCCGGGAAGTGCAAAAAGTAACATAGAATGGTTAAATGGGAAAAGAAACAAGCGATATTACAAGGAGGACAAATTGGAATGAATAAAGAATTCGGTTTGAAATTTCAGGAAAGTTACCAACCATGGTATACTCCTGAAAAAGGCCCGACAGTACAACCGCCGAAACGTCGTGACCATAACAAACAAGGTGGGATACTCGTCTGAGTAAATCTTTGTGTAATAATGATAATTATAATGAAAACAACAGTATCTGTAATATTTTTATTAAGTTCAGACCTAAAAATATGACAATTCCAACAACTGTTTTAAACTGTTTATCATGGCTTGCTTATCGATTCGTACAACTCTGAGGCTTGTCCGGAAAATATCCAGTTATTTTTAAAATCTTGAACTGATTGTGTGGTCTTAATTTAACTCACTAGCCAATAGGAGGCGACCTTTCTGTGTAAACACGAACTGGTTCTCTCCAGTGAGGTTATTCAATTGATAGAGACACGCCACAGAACAATGTGACCGTCACATTCACAATGTCGCCTGGTGCAGTTTTTTTTTCTCTTTGCTTCTTAGCAAAACACCGTATCATCCATTAATGTCCAGATTTGGACCATTGCAAGGTTTGGCTTTTTTCCCAATGTTAAGGTCGCTATCGAAAGGGAACAGATTTCAGACCGTGCACAGTTTGGATCATTAAAGACAAGACTACAACGTAACTGATGGGGACCCCGGAAATAGAACTTTGCAGACTTTTTTTTTAAGTAGTGGGGACAGTGGGATAACGTCCAAAAGGATTACTTTGAAGAAGACTGTAATGGATATCGGCATGGAATGAGAAATCTGAGAGCAGAGTTCAAATTCTAGATTGAGTTACATTCACTTACGCGCAAATACCCTCGAGAAAAGTTTGAATTCATCTCTTCTCTTCCAGCTATGGGTCAAATAGCACGACAGACTGGGTCTTATAGTCTTGATTGACAACCAGCCTACCGCAGAAAGAAACGGCAACTTACTGCAGGAAAATCTTCTGCTCGAAAAAGACATAATCGTTCAAGCGTGTATCACGTATGGCACTTAATTGACTTAAGGGGATATTACCAAAGTTAGGCTCTTTTTGTCATTAATATTAAATAGCGAAGTCACTTGTACAACATTTCGGTCAATGTTGAATAGTAATTTGAAAATATTACAGATAATGTTTTCATTTTGACTATTGTTTGCAACTGTCATAAAAAATAATCTTAACTCTATCATTTGTGGGCACAGATGGATTCATTTTTCGGCATAATGTTTGACTAATTTTATAATGTGAGAATTAAACAGGTGCCATTTATTGGAGTAATATTGTTGACTCGTTTCTATGTATTCAAAGATGTTGAAGGAAAACGTATCAAGAAAAAAGGGGTATTTTGACCAAACAGTGACATCTGATTCTTTAAGTAATCTGAGTAATCATATCGCGTAAATCTTTCCCTCTGTGGAAAAAGTAAAAAATATCCAGACTATTATTGCAATCATTGTTGTTTTTATAATATATTTTTATTTTATTTTTTTAAGGTGTAGAAGCCCATTTTTTAATAGGTTGGTTGATTTTTCGACACCTCAACCTTTGTTGGATTATTTAACATTGAATTTTGTATGACACACACAGTGAGGATCGAACTCATTACTCGGTACCCTATGATAGCGGGTTGGTTAGTTGGTTGAATTTAAGGCATGCCAACCCTTGTTGGGTGATTTAGTATAGAATTTTGTATGGGGCACCCGGTGAGGATCAATCTCGGAATTCCGTAGTAATTATTATGTTGATTGATTTTACGAGATGTCAACCATTGTTGGATTAATGTCAAATTTTGTATGGGTCACACAACTATGTAGTAATGGTTGGGTTGTTTAATCTTACACGTCAATCCGTGTTGGGTTAATATAAAATTTCGTATGGGCACCTGGTGAGGATCAATCTTACAACTCTTATTTAACCCATTAATACCAAACATCAAATTCAGGTGTATACAAGGCCGTTCGCTGCCCGGGATATATGGCCGCCCTTTCGGTCGTACCGACAAGATCCAAAGAAACACAGGGTATTACATTTGGGGACAGTGGCCGGAAAGTTGTTAGTGTTGACAGCCAGTCTTTGGAGATGAATTACGGTTTATTTATCTGCATTTACTTTCATAGTCTTTTCCGTGTTTTTGGTTATGATCGCAAGACAGCGAATGTTTAAAAGTAGGGTTTTCCATGGCTGTCGAGCTCCATTTACCCGATGCAGCTGGTTATGAGGCGCCAGTTTTTCACCTTCGCCCATTATTTGGCTAGGAGCTGGACTATTTCATAGCTTGACCGCACTATCACTCTCGGCCATGACAACCTTTGAAACTTACATAATGTACGTATATAAGCATTATACCTAGTAATGTAAAAATTAAAATAAAACCCAAGTATTATAAGGTTTTACCTATAACAGGTTAACAGGGTTTTACCTATGACAAGACATTGGGGGGGGGGCGACATTAACAGATTAATACAGGAATCAGACGTCATCACCATCATTGCTACTTCCTTAGATACCATGCGTAATATACACTTTGACGATCAGGTCTCTTTTTCGATTCATGACTGACTTGGCAGAAGAATTTCCACAGTAGATTACCGTTACTTTCTGTAAATGTCGCCACTGGGTGTTAACCTAAATGTCCACTATATATATATATATATAATGAAAGCGGACACTTTAAAAGTTCATGGTAAGTCTCTGCTTTCATAATTATTATTTGCTCTGTTATTACATCGAGCTCTCTCTGGATCCATATCCTCTTTGGAATTATCCGTACGGATTACCAAATTATCTCTCTCTCTCTCTCTCTCTCTCTCTATATATATATATATATATATATATATATATATATATATATATATAGGAAATGGACTAAGTCCGACAATTCAATTATTTTAATATATTTTCTGTTTATGTGGGCGCTTCCTCTGTAGCTAAATGGTATAGCACGTCAGGTTATATGAAAGTTCCGTGTAAGACACAGGTACGATTCCTGTCGGAGGATACATATTTTCTATGAAATTTCTCGGACATTCAAGCAGTTAAATGTTGTTCATACTGTTTATTATAAACAGTGCATTTTCGTAAATATTTGTATCCATAAAATAACGTATAAACAGAAATATATATATATATATATATATATATATATATATATATATATATATATATATATAATTTCTTTGGTTGGATGCACAGGTGGTGTAATGCTGCTGCTTCTTCTATGTGCTGTGTTCCTTCAAGACGTTGGCGATCATGGCTCTCCACAATTTTCTGTCCTTCGTAGCTCTTAATTTTTTTTTTTATTATCTCTCCTAATCCCTGTTGTGCCAACCATTTATACAATATCATCTGGTAGGTTGTGCGATGCTTTCAATCTGTTCTGTGAGAGTCAAATTTTCCTAGCCCTCTTTCCTCATCATGTCCCCTAGAAATTTCAAATCTTTCTGATTCTAAGTATAAGTATCCTTTCGTTTCCATTTTCTCTTAAACTTTGTCGTAACTCACATGTTCAGTCCATGGTATCCTCAGCATCCGTCTGTAGAGCTATATTTCTATTGCCGTGAGTTTCTTAGTGGCTGGGAACGAGAAATCGGCGAGTTGAGTTCGAATCCCAGCAGAGTTTGTTGAATTTAAATTTATTATAGTCTTCACTCTTATTTTCTGATCATGACGTGTATGGTCGACCATACTTTGAAAAAGGGGCAAGTTAAGTAATATTTTATATACATTTTTTTTTAAATATTGGGTATAAACGACTTTTATTGTGTTTTTCAATTTTTGATTTGTAAATATAGTTTTTATTTAATAACAATATCCCCTGACTGTTTGAAGTAATGTAGAATTTAAAACGATTTATCATATTATAAATTATAATTAAAATTTAAAAAAAAAAAGAAAACAATTCTTGTAAAAATTCATTATTCATCGAAATTCTTTTTTCTTAAGACAATAGTGTCCTTAATAAATTTTATTTATAAACGCAAATAAAAGCTTTTCTAATTAAATAATGTCAGTTTTATTTCATTTTTTTTAAGATTTGAAGTAGATCTTCAGAAAATAAGTAATAGTTTGAAAAAAAAAAAATTAATGATTTACATTCTCCACAAGGAGTACTATTTTTAACTAATAAAACAAATTTTAAGATTGCAATTTAATTTCATGAAATTAAGTAAGTGGGAGTAAAATATGTAATAAGAAAATTATTTACAAATATTTCGAAAATAATTTCATTCATTTGTGCATGAGTCCTGAAAATTTCATTAAAAAAAACAAAACAAAAAAAAGATTTTTAACCACAATTTCAAACGTGCTAGAAAGGATTACAAAATTTAATAAAATAATAAAAAAAATACTTTGGTCTTTCCTCTTAATAATAATATAAACATTTTGACGATAAAACTTTGTTTTTATTAAGTTTGGGACTTTTTTTCATAATGCTATACTGTTTTTCAGCGAGCAAGTGGAGTTACCTTTTCTATAAATTTGAATGTTTTGATTATTATTATTATTAATAATAATAATTTTTTTTCTCAAAAGGAATGGCCGCTTATAGGGAACAACATTCGTGGTGCCGATGTATTTCATTGATGCAGAATTCTCTGTAGATCCAAATCCTGGGTTTAAGACACACATATGATTTTTCAAAAAAATCTGTATTAACTCTAGATGCCCTCTCCCCCAAATCCACTAACGATGGCCCGCGTGTTTCCTCGTCTCGAATAGCGAAAGCTTATGAGGATGAGTCGCGCTTTGAACCAATTCTAAAGACAAGCAACATCACACTCTTAATCTTCGGATAATGATTTGATTTTCCAGTGGCATGGATTTGGAAGCCGATTAATTCCCCATTTTGTTTTCGCACTGATCATCTTTTTTTTTTTTTTTTTTTTTTTTAACAGACCACAAATCCGCTTCCTCGTCATTACCATCACTACATGGTTCCTTTTCTCTCTATTGTCTCTCGCTCGACCTTGCTCTCCTGTCTGCCTCCTTGCTCTTCTTTCCCCCTGTTATTGTCTTTGTGGTAAAGAGGCCCTTAATGGCAGGACACCTACTTACAGAAGCGTCACTAATACGAAAGATCCGTGGGGACAGGAAAAGGATTTGCAGCCTTCGTCTGGAGATACTTTACGTCGCTCGCTATCAGAGGAGAGAAGGGAAAATAAAAATCGGGCACAAATGATGCAGTGTAATGGGAGTTAAAGTATCACGAAAAATGTGTGTGTGTGTGTGTGAAGCTGACGCCGAATAGTTTCTCAAATAGCAAAATTCTTTGCTGCTCTTATTGAAGCTTTATACAGGTTACATAAAAAGATACTTAAAATTATTGTTTCTCAATCTGAAGGCAAATTAATTTATTAAAACTTAGACTAGCAAACGCACATCCCAGATATGTTACGTTTCGTGCTGATAAAAATTCAGATTGATAAATAAAGAGAGAAATAATGACTTAGGCTAACTTTTTCATTACTTCAGACGTTACTTTTTACTAGATAACCGTGTTTGAGTAGACGCCTCGTTTATTTTAAACGGTGTTTCTTTGGTTTACCGGCCTTTGCAAACTCGAGAAAACTGAATGTGCTTTAAAGGCAAATAGGACCTTGCTTGTTTGTGAAACTCTTCGTAGCCGAACGGTCAAAGCCGGATCAGACGGGAGATTTTTCCTGCAAAGGGAGACGCAGGTTCGAAATGTGCCGGAGAAAACATTTTCTTTGTTAGGTTTTCTCGAGTGTGCAGGTCGGCAGAGGAAAGAAACCTCGTTTAAAATAAATGCAATGTCTACTCAAATACGGGTACCCACTAAGCATAACGTCTGAAGTAATAAAAATATTCAAAATTTATAAAACGAAAGAGAAATAAAAAAAAAAAACATGGTCAAATCAAGCTCAAGGTTAGTCAGGAGAAAAAAATCAAGACACATTTTATATAAGTTTGTTCAAAGACACATTTTATATAAGTTTGTTCATTATCTACCTATATATCTATCTATCTATCTATGTAAGTTTGTTCATTATCTATCTATCTATGTCTCTATCTATCTATCTATCTATCTATGTCTCTATCTATCTATCTATCTATCTATCTATGTCTCTATCTATCTATCTATCTATGTATCTATCTATCTATCTATGTCTCTATCTATCTATGTCTCTATCTATCTATGTCTCTATCTATCTATGTCTCTATCTATCTAGGTATCTATCTATCTATCTAGGTCTCTATCTATCTATCTATCTATCTAGGTCTCTATCTATCTATCTATCTATCTATCTATCTAGGTCTCTATCTATCTATCTAGGTCTCTATCTATCTATCTAGGTCTCTATCTATCTATCTATCTATCTATCTAGGTCTCTATCTATCTATCTAGGTCTCTATCTATCTATCTATCTAGGTCTCTATCTATCTATCTATCTATCTATCTATCTATCTAGGTCTCTATCTATCTATCCTGGTTGGGGTGAGAAATTTTTATATCAGTCTCTCTATCTAGATTTATAGAGCAAGAAGTGCTTTATTATTGTGACTTTGTACCAGATTAAGTTCAGTAAGTAGATAAAAGGTAACTCCTTTTGCAGGCCATTTTCTATAATAAGCTTGACCCTCGCAGAGATACCCGTTACAAGAGTCGGGATAAAGCCCCTTCTATGTGCCGTGTCCCTTCAGGACGTGGGCAATCATGTATCTCCATAATGTCCTGTCTTTTGTAGCTCTTAGCAAATTCACTCTTTGCTATCTCTCTTAATCCCTGTTCTGACAACCATTTATGCAGGTATGTTAGGTAGCTTCTCCACTGTTTTCCTCTCGTGTCCCATTATTTATAAGAGGATCGGCACTACCGTCTGCTAAGAGAAGACCTAAACGCTCTGACTAAAATCAAAGTGTCGGCCCTCTGTCACTGATCAGTACACTCTGCCTAGAGTACTAAGAGACAGAATGACTTCGCTAGAAACAAAGATAAGAGTACTGAAGTGTTATGTGATATCTGTCCTCCTGTATGGCAGTGAATACTGGACAACCTCCCCAAAGATGATGAAGAGACTTGAACCAACAGAAATGTCGTTCTACAGAAGGATGCTGAGAATAACGTGACCCGAACATATGAGAACGACGAGGTTTTAGGGAAAATAGAAACAAAAACAAAGCTTATACTTAATATCAGGAAGAGACAGCTGAAATTTCATAATGAGGAAAGAGGGCTTGGAAAATCTGATACTCACGGGACATATAGCAAGAGGGACAGAGAAAAACAACGTATAACATATTTAGTGAGCTTGAGTAAATTGATGGTGGAACAGGGTTTAGGCGAAGTGATAAAAGGACTAAATTTATTAAGAGCTACAAAGGACAGAAAAATGTATTTTTATATATTACTAGTTAACGTACCCGATAATTCCCGGGCAGATGTTATCCTCAGTTCCTATTCTTTTCTTCGGTTATCCGAAAGTTTTGTTTTGTTTGTTTTACGGCATATCAACACCTCAATGGGTTATTTAATGCCGACAGCATTTTTAGGATAGATTCGTATGAATAGAAGATGTATTCTTTGGTTTATTTTGTTTTAGAGCATATCAACCTCAATGGGTTATTTAATGCCGACAACATTTTCATTGTTGGTAATATTTTTTTCCAAAAATCTATTACTGGTAATATTTTTTTCAAATATATGTTTTCCTTCAAAAATCTATTACTGGTAATATTTTTTTTCAAAAAATGTATTGCTGATAATATTTGTTTTTCAAATATATGTTTTCCTTCAAAAATCTATTACTGGTAATATTTTTTTTCAAAAATGTATTGCTAATAATATTTGTTTATCAAAAATGTATTGTTGGTAATAATTTTTTTTACAAAGTATTTCTGGTATTAAAACCCATTTTTACACTTTCATAGTGTTTTGACCAGGTTTGCCTATAGCTGGGACCCTAACAGGTGCTACCACCCCGGGTCAGGGTGGACCTGGTAACATCAGCAATTAAAACCTCCTGATCTGTGGCCTTGCTGTTGGATGTAGTTTATCGTCATACTCAGGACGGTTATCCGAAAATAACAATTTAAAGTAAGTTTCACTGAAAAGGGCTTTTGTGCGTACACAGAGAATACCTAACCGCCGGCCATAGGAATTTTGGAGTAAATACCAATAAGTTATCAACACCAATATCATAAAGTGACTTAACATAATAACAAGCAAATTGGTTACCCGAAAGTAACAATTCAAAGTAAGTAGCCCTGAAAAGGGCTTTTGTACATTCGCAGAAAATATATCCCTTAGGAGGGCTAGTATTAAAATAAATTTACAATAGATGTACAAATAGACTGACAGATAGTTTCACAATAGACCTGTAAATAGATTTATATATAGATTTACAAACAGAATGAAAGATGTACAAGTGACAAATATTACAATTAAATCATAAACGCCTGATGATTGGGTGTTTCTTATCAAGTTTGCAGAGCCTCTTGATAAATAACATTTTTGGTCTTTCCGTATAGTGCATAAATAAACAAATAATTGGGACTGCCGATTCTTGAACATCTCATATAACGGGTTTTCTCCAATAGACAACTTTATGCAAGGTTTAGGCCTGTCACATCCAAAGACTGCACCTGGGGTTTGTTAATGCACATTGCAAAACTTGGTTTCACCTTGAATAGCAGCCGCTGGAAAGGCATAAAAGAGGGAATAAGTGAAATTTTAGGAATAAATGAAGCCTTGCCGCTTGCTTTGCCAATCAGCATTGTCACCTCCAAGAAGCATCATCAAGTCATGTTTCATTGCAAAGTTTCGGTAGATCCAGATTTCTTAGCAGTTTCACTGGTGCTCCAATGTTGAGGCGCAGATTGTGAGGTGAGAGACCTGCTGGTGTTAGGCTATTCAAAAAATCAACTGGATAATTCACAGATTCATCAGCGTTTAGTACAGCGTCAATGGAATCGTATCTGTGACGCTCACCTGACAACTGTCCCAGAAGATTGATGTTCAAATCATCAACTGCCACATTCTTTGGAGCTAAAATGACAGCTAGTTCTCAGCTAGTTTTGGTCTCTAAGCTGATTCCTCAGGTCAGGAAACACCCTGGCCATTAGTTCCTTTAAATCAGATACCGTATGTTCAAAAGGTAAACTGATCCGCCAACCAAAGTGCCATTACCAACATTTAATAGTTTCCTTACAAAAAGTACCAGCTTCATCATCAACACTGAACTGCACTCTCACATTGTCTGTGAGTCTTAGATTGTTCACACTGCACCACAGGTAGGAAGACTTTATACTGGCGTTTACTTTGTCAGGTCTTGTCCTTTTCGGAATCACTGGAAGGGTTTGTCTAAAATCTCTCGCAAGCACCTCCCATGAGTTTTGTGTTGCGTCTGAAGTGCTGTGTCACGAGCCTCGTGTTTAAAAGTATTTTAAAAAAATGAAAACATCTATAGTTATTCCAGATCTTCTTAATGGCCAGAGGGATGATGGGAAGCACAAAATCCTAAACATCTGGACAATAAAACAAAATGAATCCAGATATCTGTTCTCTTATGCATACAAAAATCAACAAGAATTTATTTTTTTAATTCTACGTCTGTTTTTTTTTTTTGTTTTTTTTTTAATCAAACCTCTTTGCGGGCGTTTGTTATTTGATCCCCACTGGATGGTTTCGCAATTTGGATTTCTACCAGATTAAGCTAATCTCTTAATTCCTCTTTGCTTTTTCCTGGTGTAGACAACCCAACTCAAGTGGTTCGACGTCAATAATTACACTTTTTTTTTGTTGTTTTCGGGCGAAGTAAGCTAAAAGTAGGGTGTACACCTAACGACCGAGGATCCGTACCCTGAAAAGTACCACCCCATCGCACGAAGAGAGGTAGGTTTAAGCCTGCACCCTGACTTATTTGTTACATACTGTCTTCATTTGGTAAAGAAATACTGAGTGTTCTACAAGCATGAATTTCTGCCGGCAATGAGACCCCCAGTCCGAATCTAAACATGGTTGATTTGTCAGGAAGTTGGGGTGACGATCGCAGCTTGCGGCACCTTTGGAAATTTGCCTGGAGAATAATACCACGGGTTGACCAAAGCATTGTTTAATCAAATTGGGTTGTGCTAGCACGAAGTGTCAAGTCATCGTGACTGAGGGTTTGAACGTATTGACCTGGTTCAAACTGCTGAGCATGACAGATTATGTCCTCTCCACTAGAAATAAAGTAAATAAAATCCGCTTAGCATAGCTGCAGAATAAATCCCGGGTGGTCCATATGAATGGTGAGTACACACCTGTACCTGAACAAGTGTTTGCAACAGTTTTTGGCTAGTCACACTAACAGACGGGTGTGGCCAGAAAACGAGAATAGGCGGCTATTACACTTACACATACACACACACACACACAAGGCACATGCCGTCAGCAATTACTTATTCGGGGTAGACAGTTTGTGACCTTTATGCATTAAATCTAAAAAATAAGTATTTTGCATTTTATATATAATAATCAGAGTAACCTTCATAATTTTGTTGCATTTGGTACATATTGTGCCACAGAAGGAAAATGAAGCCGCTGATCTATTTTATTCACGTCCCTTATATATATAACCAGAGAATTCAGAGTAACATGTATCTATCCAGCTCTTATCTCAAATAACAACTTAAAAGAGACTGTTTGACCAACACAAGGAATGTTAAAAGATTCATGTTAAAAAGATAAAAAAAATTAAAAAAAAACAAATGAAAACTACAGACAAAAGTTCATTTTATCCAGCAAAAGACTCATTTCTGTAGTTTAGTGCTACCAGCAAGCAAAAATATTTCTCCTCCCGATGATGGCCATTTTGGACGAAACTAGTCGAGGAATCTAAATGGAATAATAATAAAGAAAAACGAAAGAATATTAATCTACAACCCAGTGTGTCTAAAGATTTTAATTTTTTTATTTTCTTATTGTTCAATATATATATATATATATAGTGTGCAGCTTATATTTTATATCATAAAGAAAAAAATTATGAAAAGAATTAAATAGCAATACCAATTAACTTACTGTCAATTCCTTGAATAATAAGATCCTTATATTCGAGTGGTTAGATGGAAGACAGATATCACGTAACACTTCAGTACTCTTATCTTTGTTTCTAGTTAAGTCATTCTGTATCTTAATACTCTAGGCAGAGCGTATTGATCACTGATAGAGGGCCGAAACTTTGACTCTAGACAGAACGTTTAGGTCTTCTGATAGCAGACGGTAGTGCCGATCCACTTATAAGTAATCGGACACGAGAGGAAAGCAGCTAATAACCTACCTAACGGGTTTGTGTAAAAGTTTGTCAGAACAGGGATTAAGAGAGAAATCAAAAAAAAAAATTCCTAAGAACTACAAAGGACAGGAAATTGTGGAGAGACATGATCGCCCACGTCCTGAAGGGACACGGCACATAGAAGTCTAGTCCGACTCTTGTAATAGGTATCTCTTCGAGGATCAAGCTTATTATAGAAATAATGTCCTGTAAAATGAATGA